CTCCCTCCTCCTTCAACCCCCCACCCTCCCCCCCCACCCTTTCTACACCGCAACCCTCAGACATGGCTGGTCCTGACCTAAGGTGATCCTCCCCCCTCCCAACCACCCTTGTTCCCCCTAAAAATTTATTAAAACACCCCTTTAAAAAGAATCTTAATTTGGCCGATTTCAATAATTTTGTATTAGCACCCGCAGCATGGATGGCTGAATGTTCTATAATTTAAAGTGTTCTTGAAATCTCCAAAGTGTTCTTCCAAGTCTGTGTATTTCAGGTGTGTCATATGTTGCCAAAAGAGAATGAATGGATCAAATAGAACATGTTGTTGATGACTTAAAGGAGCAACTGAAAATGGGCCTCTGCTGGCAATTATCAAGGCTACAGGAGGACCTGAATTATTCTTATGAGCCCTAACTGAATGTACAACTAAGACAGAGAAATGAGTTTGTCACCTGTTTGTCTGAAATCCTTCTTCAATACTGCTCTTCAAAAACAATTTTGATAATTCATCTAAGGCATTTTTGTATTCCTTGCAACTGAAAATAAACAAATACAGGTTTTATTCAAATGGCTCAATTCTATAGTTTAAAGTATGAGCGGTCACCATGCAAACAGATAGTTAAGGTGTTATTGGGAAGATAAACTTGTATCTTGGATGTACTACTTTAGACTTCAAGAGGTAATTCTCATGTGGGATACTCCTGCATCTGAGAACATTCAGAGGGTATTTTGACACAGCCGTGTTTTTATAATGCAAATTCTCAAGCAATTATTTCTGCTTACCTGTGAGTGTCTTCCCTGCTCTGGGAAGGTTGGAGGACGATGAAAAAAATATCATCAAGTTGGTCAATGGGGGTGGGGGAATGGATACTCTAGTCTTCCCAATGACTGTAGAGCAGTGATGACAAAACTACCTGTCTGATCATTCCGAAAGATCTAGACTAGAGGATGGTGCAAGGAGCCATCAGCCTTTTAGCAAATGAAATTTTATTTGAGGAAATGACCCAGTCAGGTAACATTAATCTAATCTGGCATCTATACTATGCAGCATTTAAATTGACCCACCAGAAGTAGGCTCGTGTTATAAAGCATTGAAATATAATAGCAAATAGCTCCAAGAAGCAGCAGATCCTATTTTCAGGCTATGCAGGGTTTATATTTATTTATTTATTTTATTATACCCTATTCTTCATACAAACTATCTCAAAATCACATACAAATGGAATAAAATGTTCAACTGGAACATACAATATTTGTACACTAATGAACACAATATGTCCTTGCCTCACTGAAAACAATCAAATGCTTTATCCTTTATTCCCTAAAAGCAAACTTACTAAAATTTCCATAAAGCATATTATATTAAAATGTAGAAAACCAGTCAGCTCTAAGAAAATAGTTAAGGTTGTATGAAAAGTGCTCAACCTTGATTAAACATCAAAGGAAAGAACTGCATGAACTTCAGTGGCCAAGTTGCCCCGCTCCCCAGTCAAAAGGACTTTGGTAGAGTCTTGGTAATGCTTTAAAAGGAGGTCGGAGAAGGTAGAAGCAGTAGTCAATTAAACAAGAATGAATCAAATGAGTTAACACTGTGCTTTAAAGACCCAAAAGCAAGCAAAGAATTTATTTTTCTGAATGTGGAAGAAGAAATGTATTGGGCTTCTACTCCCATAACCCCCAACAAGAAACCACTGGGCTGAAAAAGATTTCTACGATCAAAGCAGGAAATCAACATACCTGAGAGCAAAGGCGATGATGGAGCTTGGTTCCTTTTCACAGACAGCAATAGGAACTCGTTCGTGCTCATACATTAAGTAATGCTTGTCAGGCTCACTACATTAAGGGCACAAAAATTACAACAAGTCATTTATTTACAAGCATCACAGATTTCTCAAATGAAAAAAAGCTTTGAATTTAAAATAATTCCTCTCCCCCCCCCAAAAAAGAAAATTAAACCGAAGAATCTCATTGGCCTCTTTCACCATATTCTTAAAAGTAAATTATTGGGGGAAGGAGAAATCTAGAGCTCCTTCCAGGGGAATACAGCAGTAAAGCAAATTGGGGTAGCCTTTATGGCTTTTATTGTTTTGTCCAAGTATAAAATATAAAGGAAAATGGAAATAGGAAATTAGGGGAAGGAAAAAGAGGGGGTGAAAGAAAACCTGGGGTACAAAGGAAAAAAGAAAAAAAGCACTGACTTCTGACTCTTTTTAGCACAGTAGAATAACATTACAGCCTCAACTTTATACTTTTACACATTAATAAATACTAGCCATTTCTATAACAACAAATCTGTCTAATCAGCAAAATCAAAGTCAAAATTTCATTTTTGTATCACAAGCACAAAATCCAGAAGAGATTACCAAATAAAAAATATAAATATATTCTCCTCTTTGAATAAAGCAATCAATTTAACCATTTCTGCTTTTTCTTCCTTGCTGTGGAAATAATATATATTTCTGTTCAATAGTCTTTATAGACTATCATCTTTTATATTAACAAATTTCACTGTATTCTTTCAGATTCTTTAACCTTAAAGGGGAAAAATTACTAAACTAAACTTTTCTTTAAAAATATTTCTAAGATCAAAAAGTTCTAATACATTTTTTTAAACTTCCTCTTAACATACATAAAGTTCACTTTCAGTCAGACCAATAAAATTCCAGCTAACTCCAGCTAACATAAATAACTTAGCTAGAACATTAGCTATAATATTTGAATAAGGATAAAATTGTTGTTCTTTCTTTTACTTCCTGATGCTAATGTTTCACTGAAATGACCATTCCAAATTAGCGTAACAATCCAAAGAAGAATATCACAAACAAAAATGCAAATAGTACAGCCAGTTAACAAATCCCCAGCTCTTCTTCTTAAACTAATATTAAGGATCCGATGGGGCTAATAGATAATTAGCAGAAGACAAAGGTTAAAAATATCTCATTCTACATTAACTATTACTCCACAGAAATATATTACACCAAATACAATCCAATGGATTAAATATTACTGTCTTTTCACCTGACAATAGGCATTGCAACCCAAGGAACAATATGAACAAAACAAACACAAAAAAACCCCCATTATACAGAAATCATTTTCCTTCCAAGCTGGATTTTACTTACAAGGGGGATGGAATCGGATTGTAGCTATTTCCAGGTAACAAATTTGCTAGAATAGCCTTCATGGTAGATTTTTCTTTCACCTGACTATCCATAGAGCCTAGCAAATGCCCATCAAACACATCTGGAATAAAAAAGGAAGATACAACTTTTAATATTGCTAGAGCTCCAAGATTTCTTTAAAATGCTCATTCTTGAGATACTACAGAAATAATTTGTTATCTCAAACTGATGATTTCAATAATTTTAAAATATACTGTTGGTTTTGGAAAATGGTCAACTCTGCTATGAACTTTTATCACACTTTTATCAATTATTATCAATAATAATAATAACAACATATGTTAAACTCTGAAACAAAAGGTTCATTGATCAGCCCCTTTATAGTTCTGAGAAAAACAAGGCCAGACTTATAGAACATAATCATTGCAAAAGGACAGTCTGTAAAATCTGTCTCTTTTTCTGTATTCAGAGCCCTACAAAGGTTTACAAATTCTGTAATGGGCAACATAACTTGAAGATAACAGTTGGGGAATTCTGCTCCATCTGGTCTAATCAGAAATTTCTAGTCCCAAATAAGAAGGTAACGAAAGCTAGTCTGGTGTAGTAGTTAGGGTGCTGGGCTAGAAACCTGGAGGTCCAGAGTTCTCATTCTCCTTTAAGTCCAAAAGCTGGATGGATGAATTTAAGCCAGTCATTGTCTCTCAGCCCAACTCACATCACAGAACAGTGGTGGTAGTTGTACCGTATTTTTCGCTCTATAAGACGCACTTTTTCACCCCCAAAAGATGGGGGAAAATGTCTGTGCGTCTTATGGAGCGAATGCTGCCTCCCTTCCG